ATTCTATTTTGTCACTTCCCATAATACTTTAGTGCTAAACATTTGGATTTTCTGATTTTCAAATCATCTAATCATACACTATTTACATTATTCGGACTATTGTTCTCATCTTTGTTGCCATATTTATTACAATGTTTCGGCCGTTGTACGCTCCGGCTCCTTCAGCTAGTTGGAATGTCGATAGATAGATAGATAGATAGATAGATAGATAGATAGATAGATAGATAGATAATGAAGACTGAGATAGATAGATAGATAGATAGATAGATAGATAGATAGATAGATAGATAGATAGATAATAAAGGCTGAGATAGATAGATAGATAGATAGATAGATAGATAGATAGATAGATAGATAGATAGATAATGAAGACTGAGATAGATAGATAGATGGATAGATAGATAGATAATGAAGACTGAGATAGATAGATAGATAGATAGATAGATAGATAATGAAGGCTGAGATAGATAGATAATGAAGACTGAGTTAGATAGATAGATAGATAGAATGAATGAAGATAGATAGATAGATAGATAGATAATAATGAAGACTGAGATAGATAGATAATGAAGTCTGAGTTAGATAGATAGATAGATAATGAAGACTGAGATAGATAGATAGATAGATAGATAGATAGATAGATAGATAATGAAGACTGAGATAGATAATGAAGATGAGATAGATAGATAGATAGATAGATAGATAGATAGATAGATAATGAAGGCTGAGATAGATAGATAATGAAGACTGAGAAGAATGAGTTAGATAGATAGATAGATAGATAGATAGATAGATAGATAGATAATGAAGTCTGAGTTAGATAGATAGATAGATAGAGATAGATAGATAGATAGATAGATAATGAAGACTGAGATAGATAGATAGATAATGAAGGCTGAGATAGATAGATAATGAAGACTGAGTTAGATAGATAGATAGATAGATAGATAATGAAGGCTGAGATAGATAGATAATGAAGTCTGAGTTAGATAGATAGATAGATAGATAATGAAGACTGAGATAGATAGATAGATAGATAGATAGATAGATAGATAGATAGATAGATAGATAGATAATGAAGGCTGAGATAGATAGATAATGAAGACTGAGTTAGATAGATAGATAAATAGATAGATAGATAATGAAGACTGAGATAGATAGATAGATAGATAGATAGATAGATAGATAATGAAGGCTGAGATAGATAGATAATGAAGACTGAGAAGAATGAGTTAGATAGATAGATAGATAGATAGATAGATAATGAAGACTGAGATAGATAGATAGATAGATAGATAGATAATGAAGGCTGAGATAGATAGATAATGAAGTCTGAGTTAGATAGATAGATAGATAGATAGATAGATAGATAGATAATGAAGACTGAGATAGATAGATAGATAGATAGATAGATAGATAGATAGATAGATAGATAGATAGATAATGAAGACTGAGATAGATAGATATATATAGAGAGAGATAGATAATGAAGGCTGAGATAGATAATGAAGACTTAGATAGATAGATAGGTAGGTAGATAGATAGATAGATAATGAAGACTGAGATAGATAGATAGATAGATAGATAGATAGATAGATAGATAATGAAGCCTGAGTTATATAGATAGATAGATAGATAGATAGATAGATAGATAGATTCATGCTTTATCTGCTGCAGTGAGAAATCTGTTTATCATTTTTTGTTGTTCATACGATATGCATTTATTTCAATGAATTCGAATTCTTGTTTACTGAAACAACCAATATTTAGACAACAAAATATTGTGTACCTTTTTCACATCAATTAGTTCTTGAAAATGACTGAGTTAATGGAAAGAATACTTGGGCAGCAAAAGGAATAAAGCACGCCCTATCTATTATTTTGATTTGTATAGTGACCTCGAAATTTGCCAAATAAAAACAATTAGCAATTAAACAGTTGAATTTCTACATAAAATTGTTGTCTTAGAAAAATACAACACCCTGTACTTCAGTCAATTTATATATATATATATGTGTGTGTGTGTGTGTGTGTGTGTATGTGTTGTGTATGTATTAAAAACAACATGATTACTTATTACTATGAATATTATTTTAGTAGCTAGACGAGTCTGATTTGATATTGCTACATTTTATTTTCTTCAACAATGAAAATAACACGAACAAAAATATAAAAAAGACAAATGAGTATATATTAACATAACATATCTGTCTATATTTCTGAGATGAGGTATTATGTACACTACTTACATTATTCGGACTATCGTCCTCATCTTTGTCGCCATATTTATTACAACGTTTCGGCCGTTGTACGCTCCGGCCTTCTTCAGATAGTTGGAATGTCGAACTGAACCGTTTATTTCGCTCACTGGGGTAGATTGTTGTAGTTCCACGTGCCATGTTTTAATGGATGTAAGTTATCAGGTATCTCCTCTTAATTCCCCCCTCCACTGCCTTAATCGGGTATTGATCTCACACTCTTTGGGTCCTGTCACTGGATC